GATCGACCAGATTTGGTTTCAAACTTGAAAACAAGTAAGAATATGCAAAAAGTGCAATTTCCCAGTTTTGCACCTGGAAAGGAAGGACATACACGTATTACGTAAGTTTATGGTTTTTTTTTGGGGTTTTTTTTTTCTTTATTTTTGTCGTACCAACAATGTATACATTTTGGACACCTGCGTTTGTTTTTGCTTTATTTGATAAATAATGCTTTGTAAACTGGAGGTCCTTAGTGTGAAGCCACTTTATGCATCAATCAAAATGGCGTGTTTTGTTGTCACTGGGTTGCTGTTCCGAATGACCAATCTAGGGAACCCTTGTAATAAAGATGATATTGATAAAAAGAACAATGAAAAAAAATGATAAAGGTACGTATTTGTAGCTGAAATTTTTTGCATGCCTTTGAATAAGTTGCATGTTTGAAGCTACTGAATGCAAATCATATCAACATTCATGCTGCATGTTTTTATTTCAGTATTGTTGGGTAAACGCACATGTCCTGGTTTTCTATAGGGACTTTGTGCCAATTGTTTTCTGAATTTGGTTCCAAAATAACTTCATTGCAGTTTGTATGTATTCGGTTTTTCTTTTTTTTTTTTTTTTTAAAACATTTTATACTTTATTTCATTAAAGCTGTTTATAAATCTTCCAAGGATACAGCTTTCTCTTTAGAAGCCCTAAGTACTATAAATATTAGGTCTAGGGTTACCTATTCATACTAATACTATGAACTAAGTACATAAATATAAATTACAATTTACAATTTTCCGAAAATATAACAGTGCTTTTCCGTATATTTTAATTTATTAATAAATCGTCCTATATAAGTAATACATAACAAAACCATGTTGTTGGGATTTAATTATACAATTTGTGAGTATATAACTATTGCTCGTTAGTGTCGCGAACATGTAGTTGTATTAATCAGTTATACAAGTTTTATCTAAAATACTTGCAATTTGCTGTTGCATAAAGCTTACTTCTTGTTTCATTGCTTTGCAGTGGTTTACTCTTGACAGAAATTCATATTTAAAAATAGAGAACACATTTACTTCTTTTTCTTTTCTATTTGACAAATAGTATGCTTTATTTATACTAAATAATACTATTGTTATAAAAAAATTAATTTCAGAATACTTTTCATCAGTTATTTTATATCCAAGTATTAGGTTTTCTAAGCTTATGATATGATATCCAATTTTAAGTTTATTAAGAATTAATCTAATACCTTCCCAAATTTTTTTAAATATTTGCAGGTGATAAAGAAATGTTCGTAATTCTCATTAACATTGCATATATTACATAAAGAAGTATCAACTATTTTCCAAGTTTCTAATATTTGTTTACAGGGTAATATCCAATGTAACAATTTCCACCTCAATATTTTCAATTTATTATCTTTTAGGTATTTAAATACAAACAGTAAATTGTGTTTTATCTTCAAATAAATATCATCAACTTGCAACATATTTTTCCACTTTGCAAAACCTATTGGTGTTTCTATGTTAGATTGTATAAGTATATTATATATATCTTTTGTTGTTACTTTTTGTAACTCATACTTTTTATGATTTTTACTTACTATTTCTAGTTTTTTATTAAATTAAACTTTTGTTTGCTTTGATTTTTCATCCTTAAGTAAATTTAACCATTATTTTGGTATTGCTTTTTTTAATTTTGTATATTCTAAGAACCAATTGCAATGAGATGATAGTTTTTTTAATATCAAATTTTGAGAAATATCCCCGTTATCATCTAGGATATCATTAATATATATTATATTATTTTTAATCCATTGATTATAGACTAGACATTTACCGTTTAATTTTATGTATGTGTTTCCCCATATTATTTGTTTTCTTATTTCAATAAAATTATTTGGAAATTTTTCTATTCTACTGTTTTTCGATTTCACCCAAGTTTTAATCATTTCTAAGTAAAAAGGAGTTACGTTATTTTTCAAATTCTCTATGTCTTGTGTTTTATCTATGTTCATGTAGAAGATTAAGTAATTTTTTCCTAGTTTATCGAAGTAGAATTGAGGAATAACTTTCCAGTTTGGTAACATATCATCATTGTTAACTAGTCTTTTAATCCAATTTAATTTTAAAGATTCAATATATTTATCTATATCAATCATATTCAATCCTCCATTAGCATAATTTGTACAAACAACAGATCTTTTCACTTTTTCTCTTTTATTGTCCCAGATAAAGTTAAATATTATTTTTTTAAATTTTGATATGCATTCCTTATTAATATTGATTACTGATGCTAAGATGTTAAGTTTGGAACTATTAAGGACTTTACAACCGTTATTCTGCCTAAGATAGTAAGTTGTCTTTTAGACCAATCTTTGATAATTTTCTCTGATTTAGTTAACTGTTTTTCTAAGTTTAGTTTTTCGCATTCGATCTTATTATGTCCAAAGTATACTCCTAAGCATTTTATTGGCTTTGTTGACCAGTTTATATTTTCATATTTGTCCCTACTACTTTTAAGATTTCCTAACCAAATACCTTCTGTTTTATCTCTATTCAGTTTAAGACCAGATAAAGAACCAAATATCTCTATTATGTTTAGGGCTACTTTAATTTCTTTTTTAGATTTAACAAAAATTGTTGTGTCATCTGCTAGTTGAGTTAATTTTAAACTGTGCGTTTTTTTATCTAATTTGATTTGTATACCTTTTATATTGTTATCTTGTCTTAGTCTACATGCTAAGATTTCTACTGCCATCACGAAAATAATCGCGCTGACCGGACAGCCTTGTCTAATTCCCATATGAATGTCAAAGGGTGCAGAGATCCAACCATTGTTTGTTACACATCCTTTAATATTTGTATATAAAGTCTGTATCCAATTTATAATAGAATTTTGTAGACCAAATTTTCTTATTGCACTGTACATAAACTCCCATTCTAAGGAATCGAAGGCTTTCGAAAAGTCAAGAAATAAAATTGCTCCATCTACATTGAATTTATCAGAATAGTCAATTATATCTTGAATCTGTCTAATATTAAACCCTATATATCTATTCTTCACATAGCCATTTTGGTCACTTTGAATAATTTTGTGAAGTACTGGTTTTAATCTTTGAGCTAATGAATAAGCTATTATTTTAGTATCTACATTTAACAAAGTTATTGGTCTATAATTATCAAGATTGAGAGGATCATTTTGTTTATAAATAATATTTATGAGTTCAATCTTTTGGTTGTCAGAGAGTTCTTTTTTTTCATAGCATTTATTAAACACAAAAACTGCAAAGTTTTTTAAATATGGCCAAAAGGTTCTATAAAACTCTACTGTTAATCCATCTATTCCTGGAGATTTATTTAATTTCATATTTAAAACTGATTTTGTACATTCATCTTTTGATAGCTTTCCTTCTAATTCATTACTTTCTTCATGAGATAGAGTGTAATCATTTTTTGTTTCCTCAACTTACTTTTTTATATTTTTTACGTCTGGTTTTTTGGATGTATATAAATTTTGATAATATTCTCTTTCTATTTCTAATATTTTACTCTGATCATCAGTTATTTTGCCTTGGTTGTCTTTTAGAGATGTAATATTTTTACGTGTTTGTCGACATTTTTCCAGACCGAGAAAGTATTTTGAATTTTTTTCTCCTTCTTCAATCCATTTAATTCTTGACCTTATTTGGGCTCCCTTAATTTTTTCTGCATATATTTTTTCAAGACTTTTTTTCTGTATCTTCAATTTGTTTATTGATATCTTTTACTTTTTGTGAATTTAATTCATTATCACATATTTCGTTAAGATATTTTATTTTATTTTCTAAATTTTTAACTTCTTTTCTCTTATCTTTTTGTCTAGATTTACAATAGTTAATAGTTGCCTCCCTTACTTGAATTTTAAACATGTCCCACATTACAGTAGGTTTTTTATTTAGTGCTTCTTCTTTATATTGATCTATAAGCTTTAAAATACTGTTTTTATATTTGCTTTCATTGAGTATACTGTTGTTTAATTTAAAGTATCCTTTTCCTTGATCTTGTATTGTATGTTTTATTTTTAGTGAAATTGCTTGATGGTCTGTGCAGTTAATCACTGCTGGGCGGATATCTGTACTTGTTACTCTATTTCTTATGTCAGAATTTATGAGAAAAAAATCTATTCTACTTGCAATATTGCAATTATGTTTTTCTTTTCCACGTAAATTGGTTTTTTGTAGGATTTAATACTCTCCAAATATCTATTAGTTTATGGCTTTTTATCATATTTTTTATGCTATTAACGGGTTTTCTTTTTTTACTATCTATCGTTTTACCTTTTCTGTCCTTATCTGATAATGTTTCATTCAAATCACCACCAATTATTAAAATTCCAAGACAGTATGCTTCTATTATGTTGTGCACTTTTTTTATAGTAGGCATTTCTATCTCTTTCTATATTTGGAGCATACAGATTTACTAGAGTAAAAATATTGTTATCAATTTCAATATTAAGTAAAATAATTCTGCCTTCTTTATCTTCAAAAGTATTTATAATAGAATGATTTAGTCTTTTATTAATAAAAATTGATACCCCTTTAGAATTTGAACTACCTAGACTGTGGTATGTTTTCCCCTCAAACTCTTTTTCTATGGTGTTGACATTGCTTTGTACAAAGTGAGTTTCTTGTGCGAAAAGTATATTGCACTTTTGTTGTTTACACCACTCATAAAGCCTTTGTCTTTTTTCTTTTTTCCCAAGACCTTGACAATTCAGTGAACATATATGTAGCATTTTATCCATTTTCATATATACAAATTGTTGTCATTTTACACAATATATTATTCATTATATACACATTAATAATGACATATTTCACTAATTTCCATTCTATATTTATATGGAACATTTCATAAATTATGCTTAGTTCTATCTGTTTATCTGATTTATCTATTGTGTTAACATTTTTTGCACAGGTTAGAATACATCTTTTTTGTAGGTTTCTCCCTGGTTCTAAAAATAGACATCTACTGGTAATAAAGACCTTGACCTTAAAAACAGTAAACATTTTATACCGATACATAGCCCAATGCAGTCTATCATCAATATGTATATTTGGATTAAAATATATGGAAACTGTGTCGTTGTGGATATGATGTTTCTGTTGTAAGTATAATTTTACATTTATAATATATTTTCCTCGTACAATTAGCTTCGCGTACAGGTAAGTGTGGTTTAATTGAACAAGTGTACATACCCATTTTCTATGACAGCTATAACGACTACACGCATATTTATTTCTTTTATTTATTGTACGTACTCTGCTTTTGCTGAGTATTATTCTGTTGTTGTGTGATTCTGAATTTGAATGAATCGCTTTGTCACTTTTTTCATGTTGTTTTATACGATATAATAGAAGATGTATATACTTCACGTTTATTTGTAGTGGAAATTTTGATTTTGATAAATGTGGGTCAAATGCATATGTAGGTTGCGTTGCGATACGCCTATATTTTGACACTAGTATTTGCACGTGCTTTTTGTTTACGAAATCATGTTGACATTTCGGATAACACATACAGCTTTTGTTATGAAATTTTATTTGGTCTTGAAATTGCTTTACTTGTTGTTTACATTTAAAGATGTATACGGTATATTTAGAACGCGTACGTTCGCATAGCCTTATGGTTTTTTTTCTCAACTAATAATGTTTCTTTACTCTGATAAAAATTATCATATACACTTATCATATATTAATTATTGTTATACCTGATATAAAAACAATTATCAGTATGTAAGTTAAGTATAGAATTTTACATCTTTTCATTATTATAGACATTGTTTTTAAAAGATTTCTACATATTCTTTCAGAATGTACACCATCTTTAAATATAGCATCACAAACTGACATATTTTTTGTTTCTTTTTTTCTAACTAAAATAACCTTAATATAATTAAGGATATATATTATACAATAAAAAATCAGCATTATTTACAAGTTTATTTAGTGTTTATTATATTTTGTATTGAATTATGTTCCAGTTCTAGGTCTTGTTGCATGTATTTCTCTTTGGTGTGCTGTATCAGTTGGCGTAGAAGGTTTCCGCTTATCCGTACTTTGTTTTGGAGTTTTGGCAGCTTGCAGATCTAGAAATTGATCTAATGTACCCTTTTTAGTAGGTTTGGTTTCACTATTTCAATTACTTTTATTTTTGTCACTTTGTCCAGTTGGATAATTTCTACTTTTTTGAATGTACGTTTTATTAGCAGCTTTGACATGTCTTCTACGCGGAGGTTGTTGCATGATAGACTGAGACTTTGGAGCGTTGTTTTCATCATCTGTTTGGTTCTCGTCTGACTCATCTACTTCTTTAGTTGTGTTTTTAGTTGGTTTCTGAACTTTGCTAAATACAAACTGTGTGTCATTTTGTTCATTTTTGTCTGTTTGACTGTTATCATCCTTCTGACTGAATTCTTCCTCACAATCAATTGATTTGTGCCCTAATTTGCCACATTGCCTACAGCGCCAGTCACTTTCACATTGGACTTGTTTGTGCCCCATCCCTAAGCATTTGTTGCATTTAATATTTGGATTTACTACTTCTTGTCCTCTATATATCAATAGTGCTCTATATTTGCCTATTTTTACATACCGGGGTAGATTCTCCTCTGGTTGATCACAACTAAAAATTCTGTCTCCTGTTTTGCAATCTAATAAAAATCCATCCACTCTTACTCTTTCTCTGTTATAGCTATGAATATTTAGATCCAGATTTTGAAGGAATCTAAAAATTTGTCCGTCATCAGCTGAGAGTGGGATGTTTTTTATTCTTTTTCTGCAGTAGTCATCATGTTGTCTCTCAACGACTCTTGGATTTTTTGGATAAAGCTTTATCAGCTTTTTTCGAACTACCACTTTACCGGTTAGAAGTGTGATTCTATACTCTTCAGAGTCTACATAAATTCTCCACATTCCATTTATCCTCTGCAAACCTTGCAAAGTATTTCCAGGAACAACTAGGGCCATACCTTTGTAAACTTCTTCGTGGGTGAGAAAATTCTCTCTATTTCTTACATTACCAAAAATGTCTGATTCTAACAAGAAAACTGGTTTAACTGTAGATAGATGTTGTTCGTGATTTATCTCGTTATCTGACTTGTTATAATGTTCACCATTAGCTGTTGCATTTGCGTACGAGCTTGAGGTCGCCATTTTTCTTTGTTTTTGGACTGAGTTGTAATGTTCTCAAGACTTTTACAAACGATATGTGATGTTTAAACACTTGTTGACATAAATACTTATTAGCTTGTTAACTTTGTATGACTGTCTTATAACTTGTTTTCATCTAAACTACGATTTTTTTTATGAGCACGAAGAACACCGTGGTCATCCATTCAATGCCCCTTCTAACCCTATTCGGTTTTTCAATTGTCTGCAAACATTTTTTTTTGTATTGAATTGTGTTGATGAATGATGTTGAGGATAAAAGTCATGTTTTCTTCAGCAGACAAATCTGGAAAAAAAGAACAGTACTTTCAAAGCAAAATTACCACATGCAGAACTGTGATGTTGCAGGACTCATCCCTGGAAGTTCGAAACGACTCTATTCCAGTTATTAGCTGTTAATACGGAATTTTGGATGATAACGAGAAGAAGATTTGAATAATCTCCGTCTTGATTGCGTTTGTGAGACAGTGTGTTTTGCTGCATACACATCACATACATGTATAATTACAAATTAGTTCTGGTCCTCTTAGTCATGCAATTCAAAGCTTAACAACTCCATGTAATTAAAAATTTATAATTTCCTCAAATAGCCAACGTTTCTACTCTATTTCGTTTCTTATTTTTATTCCCCATCAGCAAGAATTCAATTATGTATTCTTAGGTTACAAATTAGATAACGCCTGATTGGACAAAATTAATTTAAAAAAATAGAAAAAAATAGAGAAGAATAGTCAGAAAATAAATAAAAGAGAAAACAAGAGATAACATGGCATGTATCATTTTACTAAATACAGAAATATAGACGCCGCCTTCACCATCCACACCCTCTTCATCTAAGTCGCAATCACTTCATTATCTACATGATATAATTGTCAACTATTATATGTGTATTATTTCTTCAGTTATCTCTTATTTATAATGACTTCAACATATAGACGTAGGGAAGTCTGTATAGCTCTATCAAGTATTCAATGTCTGCAATATTTTTTCTCCTGGATTTACTTGACTGATACGATGTGTTTAAGCTCACTGGCGAAATGTTTTCAATGTCTAAGATCTTAATGATATACTCAGATGAAATTAAATCAAAATGTAGAATTTAAAATTTATATTATAAGTCAGCTAATAACATTAATAGGTTATGGAACTCCTTTCAACTATTTGATTTTAAAAAAAAAGCCTGGTAAAGGCTGATTTTTACCTTATATTAAGCATTAGTATTATTTGGGTCTCCAATCGTAAGAAAAAATATATATAATCTGCTTAAAATTTCGTAATGATGTTTTTATGACCTATTGAAGTCTTCAATGAAAAGAAAAGTGGGTGATATGGGGCAAAATATTTTAATCTGTATTGTAGGGAAAAAACCTAAGGAGTCCGAACATCTGACAAAAATTCCTAAACCTGATCTGACTACATCCTTAAGATACCAGAGTAGTCGTCGGATATTTTAAATATTAAGCACAAGTATTATGTTAATATATCGTTTCTGAAATATTATTGCTGTTTCAATTTAGCAGTGAATGCGGTAAAAATAGACCTTTCTTGCTAGAAATCAGGTTTTCATTATCATATGAGATCTTTGTTCCAAGGGTCTTGATGACCAAGTGGTCTAAGTAGTATATCTCTTTCTCACTAACCTATCAACACTGATATTTCAGATGGATTAGACTCCAATCTTAATTGAACAGGATAACCAATTTTTTTGTCGAAGGTCGGTGGCTCTCAGCGGGCACTCCAGTTTCCTCCGATAAAAACTGGACCCCACGAAACAGACAAGAATGCTGAACGTTGTGCTAAAATAATAAATATATTTATCAATCAATCTTTGTCCCATAGGCAGGAAATTAATGTCCGGATAAAATATCGTCAAACTTTTTTTCACTTTGACTGTTTTTGAAATAAGGATATTGTCAAATTGAAATTCTGACTTGATGCAATGCATATACAGGTGGTTGGAAGTGCTCTGGAGTGACCTTTTGTATGAGTTTTCTCCCCTTTAATATTCAAAAATCAAATGTTGCGTAGTATAACATCTCAACAATACATATAAGAGACTTTTTCGAATTGAGATTCTAGACCTTTAATCTTGAAATTGAGTTAAAGTTATAGACCAATGTCACGTTCTAGATTCTGGTCTTTGCTTGTAAATGCTAGTCCGCTAAAATTGTAACACACAGACAATGGAAGTGATGATGGAAAATGTTTCAGACATTATTGCAAAGATTTAATCATGTTAATACATTTAGTTTAAACTAATCCGATGACATTTAACGGAGTTATTGTCCGTTTGATACTTACATTTGTGATGTATTGGTAAATGCTTCCTAATAGTGCATGCTAATGCCATTCAATGTTTTCCATTAGGTGACACATGACCTTGCTAAGGTCAATCAGAAAAAAAAACCTGAAGTGCCTTTTTTCACACATTTCATGCAAACGTACAAAGTTACCATATACATAAATGTACCAATCACATACTGTCAAAATGAAACATTATCCTCCAAATTTTTAACAAAATTACTTATAAAAACCATATATGTTTTGTATGTAAGCTATCATATGAGACCAGAAGTCAAAAGAGACTTTTTAAACCAGAAGTAGCAAATTATCTCCCTTCTACAACTTAAAATATATAGACACTTTATAATACATGTACTCATAGAAAAAGTGTTAAGGAAGTTTTATAGAAACAATCAATACCTATATTTATACCTATTGTACGTTTTACGGTATTGTAAGATGAGCTCTCTTCTGAGTTCAAATGCCTTAATGACAAAAAAACTGTTAGATACTATCTTTCCTGAAAAAATAATTTATTTGTATATCTTTATTCAGGTCTTTTTTCAACTTCAATTAAGGAAAATTGTAGGTGAAAAGAATCAATTGGCGTCTAGATCAATCAAAACTTAGAACTATATAATCTAGGATCATTTTCTGCGGTAGTTTTTATCCAATCTTGTTTAGAACTAGACATCTGGTTAGTGGTATAGGTGGAGGGTTGAGATCTCACAAAATATGTTTAATCCCACTTCATTTTTGCGCCTGTCTAAAGTCAGATATCTCTAGCGTTTATTAGTCTTATGTTGGTTTTTTTTAATTTAGAATCATTTATATGTTTCGGAGTTTAGTTTGCCGTCCATTTTGCTGAACTAAAATACATTATTGTTAAACGCCAGTTGAAGCCCGCCTCCGGGTGCGGAATTTTCTTGCTGCTCTTTGGTCCGGTTGTTGCTTCTGTGACAAAATCCCCGTATTCATTCTCTTTTGTATCGTACTATATCAATATATTTACCAACAAAAGAAGTAATGTTTGATGTGTCTTAAGTTTTATTTTGTATACAGCAGAACAGTAAATAATATTTTGTCGCTATTTGAACGCTATCTATATACAAATGTAGATGTCAGAACATATTGCCCACACACTATGGTGGCATAGAATATCTTAGATATCTAGACATCTAGAGGTATAGGGGGAGGGTTGAGATCTCAAAAAACATGTTTAACCCCGCCGCATTTTTGCGCCTGTCCCAAGTCAGGAGCCTCTGGCCTTTGTTAGTCTTGTATCATTTTTAATTTTAGTTTCTTGTGTATAATTTGGAGTTAAGTATAACGTCCATTATCACTGAACTAGTAAACATATTTGTTTAGGGGCCATCTGAAGGACGCCTCCGGGTGCGGGAGTTTCTCGCTGCATTGAAGACCCATTGGTGGCCTTCCGCTGTTATCTGCTCTATGGTCGGGTTGTTGTCTCTTTGACACATTCCCCATTTCCATTCTCAATTTTAAAGTATAGAACAATATTCTGTATGTTTATTCTAACCTCCACTGAAAGTTAAAATAGATCAGAAGTTACAATTGTTAGAAGCATATAATACATCTCCTTCAATCCTTATAACTTGATTATACTAACAAGTGTTACTTGTTTGTTTTTTTTTTAATTTGTGTCTAATACTTTATGATGTCACTTCTCATGTTTCATCTTGGTTTAAAAAAATACAAAATAATCAATAAAAAAAACCATCTGATGCAATTTTCTTTCATTCTGGTGTTGAGTGACTTCTTGAATATTTGGGAATCCAAACAAATGTTGTAACTAAATTAATTTTCTCTTTTTTATCCTAGAGTCCTTTTTGAAGTGTAAAGTGATGTGTTCGGGGTATAAAGTGACCATGTTTTTACGTTTTAATAAAAAAACTGAGATAACCAGAAGTCAATTATTTTATACTGGTATAACCGTGTTCGTGAGCATGAGATAAATAAATAACCCTTGAAGTACACAAATAACGAAACATAAATACATAGACAAAACGGTGTTCAAAGGGATATAACTCTAATTCATTTAACGGAAAGTATCTGTCTAAATTACGATAAACTGGCCCTGTTCTATCTGAATACAACCAATACAATTCATGTGTATATGTCAAATGTATGTAACTAATTACACTCAATAATATACCAAATCATGATCAAATGCTACATTTTGTCCAATCATATCACGCTAATTACTCATATATTCATAAATCAAATACTTCTGTTACTATAAAATTTACATGTAATTATCGACATACAGGTAACTACTATTTACAGGACATACACAGTACATATTATGCTGAACTGAAAATGAATAAAAAAAAGAACAGATAAAACAGTTAATGTAAAAATACATTGAAAACACTGATCTTACAATGTATATTGCACAAAGTTCTATTTCATATAATGGTAACATCATCAGATCATTATAGATAAATCAAGATATTCTGGTTCTGTACAAAATATAGATCTCACCGACATAAGTCTAACGAACTTAATAACATCTGCATAAAATTTACAAACAATATAAATAATGTTACAAGATATTATTATGAGCCTGTTATAATGATGATATAAATGTACCAATACATGTATAATTTACATATCTATAAATGTACCAATACATGTATAATTTACATATCTACAAACTATTGTTTCTTCCGAGTTCACGAAAATACTACTTTCAGAATAAATATCTATTATTTATGCACAATAATCTGACATATTTGCTCAGATTCGAACTAAAGGAAAACTGTTCAAATATTGAAGACTTAGAAATCTTAGTAAATGAACTGATTAATATAGAATAAGTGTCCAGAATGTATTACTATATAAGTATTTAAAATAATACTGGTGTATGTATATGTAATATAGCTGGTCACTGACAAGGGTTTTAAAAAGGTGTAAACTGAATGAATATGACCAATAGAAAAACAGATAACTTGGCACATGACACACTTACTAATGGACCAGAAAATAGAGTATATAAACTCACCATAGATACCAGAATTGTGTACGCCAGCCGCATGTTTTCGTCTGCGAAAGACTCACCTCACAAGTGACGCTCAAATCAAACAAGTTAAAAAGCCCAAAAATAGTTCGAAGTTAAAGTTAAAGAGCATTGAAGACCAAAAACTCGGAAAGGTTTTGCCAAATACAGCTAAGATAATCTATTCCCGGAATAGAAAGGTTTTGTAAATATATCATCTAATCAATATTTCTTTATTAGGTAAATTTAAAATTAATGTAGAAATCAAAATAAATCTATTGGTTTTAAATTAGGTTATGCCACTTTTCCATGCTTATGATTTTTTCTGTTCATTTCTTTCGTCTGTGACTTTTTGATTATGAGATTTATTCCTTGAAAAATAATGAAAAGATGTATGCACATGATATTGAACAGTGATTACATGCATGATTTCCAATTTGACCATTTGTAACTCACTGCACATTTTTATTTAATGAGAGTAATCTATCAAAACACGGGTTTGGTTGTTACTGCATCTTATCTAAAACCGTGAAAGTATCGATTTTTTTGATTTTTTCTCCTGATTGCTGAAAATATTTTCAGGGACTTCATATGATAGATATTTGCCTTTCTGTTATTAATATATGTGATATAAAAGTATAAATCATAAACCATCTTTGAAGAAATATAGATATCGACAGTTAGTAGGTATTCCTATGGGCACTAATTGCACCCCTTTAATAGCAGATTTATTCCTATATTACAATGAATCACAGTTTATGGTCAAAATCAGTAAAGACACGTCATTGTTACATTGAGTTGACACATATACTTACCGTTATCTTGATGATATTTTTTTCATTAAACAATCCAGAATTCTCTAAATATACTACCGAAATTTACCCAAAGGAACTTACTTTAAAT